TTTTACACATATCTCTGTTAATGCATGATTTTTCTCCAGAAATCCTGGAGTGATCAGTTTTTAAGTTATACACATGCTTTACCCATGCAGATCATTAACATCTATGAAACCTGAGTGCCACTTGCCAATGCAGAAGGCCTTTTACAAGGACTTCAACATGTGAGCAGATCATTGGGGTTTGTAGCCCTTGCACTTGGTGCTACTTTGCCACAGCATTAGAGAGGCCCACGACAACTTTCAAACAACACAGATACTGTCTTTGGCTCAAGAGAAAATGCCTCTGCCCACTTGTGTCTGACAAACTATTCCCCAGTAATGGGTAAGGCAGAGGGGGCAAATATCCAACCAAAGACAGGTAGGTTATGGGCCGGGGTGACCTCTCCAATGATGGGATGAAAGACCCTCAAGGAGTGTCTTCCCTCGGGAGAGACCCCGTGCTCAAGGATCTGTTGAGACCACTCGTGCGGATGCAATCAGCAAGAGGCTTTATTCGGACACACAGGTATCTGGGGCGACAAGATCTCCTTGAAGACTTGCGCGCCGAAAGGCTGGGGAAAGGGATTTTTATAGAGGCAGGGGAGCAAATGCGCAGGTACAGAAGCAAGATGCATGGTTACAGGGATGCCATTGGTCAATTCAAATGAGGCCAGGGTTATTCTGAGGACAAGTTCCCTTAGTACATAGTAACCAGGTGAATAGCAACCAGATGAATAGCAACCAGATGAATAGCAACCAGATGAATGGCTCTATCTAGGGTACACAGGGTGTTTTTCAGGTACTTTCCGTTCCTGGCTGGCACAGATATCCTGTTTGGCAGCCCTAGCTTGCTGACCCTGTCCTGAACCCGGGGCTACATGCACAAGGGTTCCTTCATAATGGTGCTGCAGCAGCTAAGCTAAGCTTATACAATATGATTGGCAGGGGTCTTTCATTCCCCCATTTCTCTTCTGGCTTTGAATGGAATCTTCCATTCATGTGGTCTATGTTAGTTCTATGAAGTCAGGGTCGGATTGGTCTATTTGTTTTAATCGCTGATACTGTTGGGTGAGAACCAGAGCCTGGATGACAGAGAGTCTATCCTTCATGAATTGGACCAAGCGGTTGAGGATGCAAGGTCCAAACAGGAGGATTAGGAGTAGGATGATCAAGGGACCCATCAAAGAGGACAATAGGGTGGTGAACCAGGGGGACCTATTGACCCATCCTTCAAACCATCCTTGCTGAGATTCGAATAGCTTTTGTCTTTGTTTTAATCTTTCCCTAAGTTTTCCAATGTTGTCTCTTACTAACCCGGTGTGATCTGCGTAGAAACAGCATTCCTCCTTGAGTGCCCCGCATAATCCTCCCTCTCGTAAAAATATCATATCTAATCCTCTCCTGTCTTGTAGGACCACCTCTGAGAGGGAGGTTAACCGATTCTTCCAGTGCCTTGATGTTAGTGTGCATGGCAGCCTGCAGTTGTTTAAATTGGCCGGTTTCTATAAGAGCAGCAGTGCCTGTATCCACTCCTGCCGCTATTCCCCCCCCCCATGGTGATACCTCCCAGTAACAAGGCCAGAGTTAGAGATACTGGTTCTCTCTTAAATCGGGGTCTCCCTTCAAAATGACTGTAAATGTATTCTGGATCATGGTATGTTATTTTGGGCCATAATTCAACCAGAATACAATAATCATTGTATTCAGTACTTGAACAGACACACATGGGGTCAGGCCAGTGCTACATGCCCAGTAAGTCCCATCAGGAGCTGCTAAGTAATAGGCTCCTGTGGACATATGTTGGGTTGTTTTACATAAGGCCTGGTGGGTTTTGGGAACAGTCCCTATACAGAGTCCCTGCCCAGATGCTTCAGATAGGGTCAGCTTGTGTTGGGGGGTGGAAATGCAGCTGGTGGGTGTGGTGGAGTGGTTGGTATAATTACCTAGAACGGCCATCCCTTCATAATAGGGAGGTCTTGACAACAGACATAGCCAGCAATATTGTGTCCTGTTCGGATCTGTGAGGTTGAGAGCCAGATATTCTCCTTGTATCAAGTTGAGTAGTCTATCCCCAGTCCCAGGTTGGCGGGGAGCCAAGGTAGTGGTAGTAGGGGTATGCACACTAGGGATGCTATTGCTGGCTAAGGAGGCTGTTGGGGCAACAGGGGGTAATAAGGGGGTACAACTGGGGCCGGCTGGGAGGGTGGTTTTTGGTCTGCTATGACCATATTGGGTCCGATGGAATGGGTTGCTGTGTTCACTTTAAGTTTAATTTTGAAAGTGACACCTTTATCTGTCCCTGGGAGATGCCATCTGAGACCCCAAGTGTACCCTTGTTGCCATCCAGTGGCCTGCCGTCCTGGCCTTGTGAATGTGATCCTGAGAGGTAATGACAGTGGTTTCTTCCAATTGGCATTTCCATCAGTTCCTCTCTGGTAATAACAAGTGTGTCCATCAGAGTCAGGTAGAGTATATTTTCGTTTGACTGTGATCAAATCCCAGGAAGAGGAGGGCCACCAGTAGGCGCCCCCAGTGGTCTCACAGCCCCATTCATAGCAAAAGTATGCCTCATATCCCCCACATCGGTAGGCTGTGGCTCGATCTCTATTATCTCGGGGTCAAACATAAAAACCCGATTGGGCTAATTTGCATCTAGCGGTGGGGCTGCTGCATCCATGGGCCGTCATCTGTTGGGGTCTGGCTCCCATGTATGATGATTGTAAGTTATGGGGACCCATAGTTGGGATAACCCAAGTGTCCAGGCCGGCAGCCAGTTGGCAAAAGTAGGGGGTGAATGTAGGCCACCAGGTGTTAAGCGCATGGTTGCCCTGAATTTCCCAAACAACCTGCCAGCTCTGGGACCAAACTTGCCATGTCAAAGAGTACACTTGGTGAGGGCTTCCTTCCTGCATCGCAATTCCTAGTCCCAACAAGGCCCATAAAATGGTTAAGGGGCCCCATGGGTAAGTCTTAGCTTTAGCGGGTTTTGGGTGCGCTGAATTCTCCATGGTGAGGTCGTGGTCAGTTTCTTCTCTCCCATGGTGTGGTCGGCCTTGACGTGGGAAGTGTGGATTCAGGCTGCGATGCCGTCAACCTTTAGTGCCGTCAGGGTAGTCAAGAGGACAGTGTATGGTCCTTTCCACCGGGGTTCCAGGTTCTTAGTCTGGTGTCTGCGTACCCATACAGTGTCTCCTATCTGGTAGGAGTGTGGTACCACCGGCTTATCTAGCTGCTCCCGATAGGCTGCTGCAAGTGGTTTCCAGACTTCTCTCTGGACAATCTGTAATGCCTGCAAATGAGCTTCCAGAGAATGACTATTAGCAAAATCAGCAATGTTGGAATCCAAGAAATTTATAAATGGGGGCGGGGCCCCATATAATATTTCAAATGGGGTGAGTCCATGTGGGCCCGGTGTGTTTCGGGCCCTGTATAAGGCTAAAGGCAGGAGGAGCACCCAGTCTCTAGAGACAGTTGCAAGCGTTAATTTAGACAAAGTCTCCTTAATTGTTCTATTCATGCACTCTACCTGTCCTGAACTTTGGTGTCTGTATGCACAATGTAATTTCCAATCAATGCCCAAAAGCTTAGCCACCAACTGACTTACCTGGGAGACGAAGGTGGGCCCATTGTCAGTACCCAGGATCTGGGGCATCCCATACCTGGGGAAGATTTCTTCCAAGAGTTTCTTGGTCACAGTCTTTGCCATTTCATGTTTTGTGGGGAAAGCTTCTACCCATCCAGAGAAGGTGTCTATGAACACCAGTAGGTATCTGTTTCCATATAATCCAGGCTTTACCTCTGTGAAATCGATTTCCCAATGGGTACCGGGATGGTGTCCTCGAACTCAGATCCCTGGTTCGAGCTTAGTCCTGCCTGCATTTACCTGGGCGCAGGCTTTGCATTCATCAGTTACTTTTTGTATGGCCCCGTCTCTATTTAGGAGGTATTGTCCCATCTCCTGGCATTCTAGGAGAGTCTTCATCTTTTTGGGGCTCAGATGGGTTAGTTTATGTAAACAGTCTATCAGTTCGTAGGTTTGTCTCATGGGTCTAACGATTGTTCCTTTGAAAATCCAATGTCCCTTTTTGGGGTCATAAGTGGCCCCCATTTTCTTTAGGAGATTTATGTCCTCTTGGCTATATGACAGGGAGCGTCTGAGTTCCTGATTCTCCCCTGGGCACGTCAAAGGAAGGGCTCGGGTGGTGATGAGGGAGTTTAGGGCAGCCTCCCTTGCAGCTGTGTCTGCTAGTCGGTTCCCTTTTGCCTCCGGGCTATTGCCTCTTTGATGGCCAGGGCAATGCATAATGCTCAATTTCTGAGGCAGAAACAAGGCTTTTAGCAGTGCCAGGATCTCAGCCTTGTTTTTAATTTCTTTTCCTTCTGAAGTTAATAGTCCTCGCCTCCGGTAAATTTCCCCATGTATATGGGCAGTGGCAAAGGTGTATTGGCTATCTGTATAGACGTTCAGTCTCTTACCTTCTGCCATCTGAAGGGCCTGGGTTAGCGCGATGAGCTCAGCTCTCTGGGCTGAGGTGCCTGCCGGAAGGGCTTTTGCCCAGACTACCTCAGTCTCTGTGGTCATGGCTGCTCCCACCTTCCGCTCCCCGTTCACCAGGATGCTGCTGCCATCCGTGTACCAGGTGTAGTCTACATCTCGGAGGGGTTGATCCCTCAGGTCCGGTCTGGTCCCCTGCATTTCTGCAAGGATCTGGAGACAGTCATGCAGTTCTGGCTTTCCCAGCAGGGGGGAGCAGAGTGGCAGGGTTAAGTGCAACCACTGGACTGAATTGGACTCGGGTCCGCATCCAGGAGCATGGCCTGGTAATGAGTCATGCGGGCATTGGAGAGCCAGCGGTCTGGAGGTTGTCTAATCAAGGCTTCTACTGCATGGGGTGCTAGGATAGTTAAAGGCTGACCCAGAGTTAATTTGCCGGCATCCTTGACAAGGACTGCAATGGCTTCTATCATTCGCAAGCAGGGTGGCCAGCCCGACGCTACTGGATCAAGTTTCTTGGATAAGTAAGCTATTGGACGCTTCCAGGGGCCCAGTCTCTGAGTGTGAGTACTCCTTTAGCATAGCCCTGCCATTTGTCCACAAAAAATTTGAAGGGTTTGGTGGTATCAGGGAGGCCCAACGCTGGGGAGGCCAGCAAGGCCTTTTTAATATCCTGGAATGCCTTCTGTTGTTCCTCTCCCCAATTAAACAGAGTCCCTTGTTTGGTGAGAGGGTATAGGGGTGCAGCCATCTCCGCAAACCCTGGAATCCAGAGGCGGCAGAACCCTGCAGTCCCCAGAAACTCCCGCAGCTGGCGGGGATTTTTAGGGGCAGGGATGTCAGTAATAGTCTGTTTACGTGCCTCAGTCAGCCATCTCTGTCCATCCCTTAATTGATAGCCTAGGTAGATGACCTCTTTTTGGCATATTTGGGCCTTCTTTGTGGATGCCTGATATCCTAGTTGTCCTAGTGTCTGCAAGAGGGCTTCTGTGCCCTCCTGCACTCCTCTTCTGATGCTGCCGCCAGCATTAGACATATTGAAGCAGTAACAGGGCAGGATGCTGCACCCTGAAATCTGCCAGATCTTGATGCAAAGCCTCGTCAAAGAGGGTTGGGCTGTTCTTGAACCCTTGGGGAAGCCTGGTCCAAGTTAATTGGCCTGAGAGCCCAAGATCTGGTTCCTTCCATTCAAAGGCAAACAGAGATTGACTCACAGGATGCAGTTGTAGGCAGAAGAAAGTATCCTTTAAATCAAATACAGTGTACCAAGTGTGAGAAGGTGGCAGTGTGCTCAGTAGATTATAAGGGTTGGGGACCGTAGGGTATATGTCTTCTACCCTCTTGTTGACCTCTCTTAAATCCTGCACTGGCCGATAATCCCCAGTACCAGGTTTCTTTACCGGCAGTAGGGGAGTATTCCAGGTTGAGCGACAGGGGGTGAGGTATTTTTTTGTTTTTTTGTTTGTTTGTTTTTGTTTTTTTTTTTTTTTTTTTGAGACAGGGCTTCTCAGTAGCTTTGAAGCTGAAAGATCCACAGAGCACATATACACTCACGCCCCAACTCAGCCCCCCACAAATCACTCATGAGAAGCGGTCTTGATGAAAAAGCATGAGGTCTCTTATATTTCAAGAGCATTGGGGTCTACAGCCATATTCCACGAGGCAGTAGAGGACTGGGGGAATCTTGGGTACACAATTGAGACAGCTTTTACAGGGTAACAACAAAGCCCATGCATCCTAAACCAATAATCTCATAGCATCCAGTGCAGACCAATCAATTTGAACTATCCAAGACCATGCTTAACCCAGGAAGTGGGTGTGGTGACAAGGCTCATTTGCTGTATTCACTCGCTCACAGGTGATGTCTTAAACAGCCCTGTCATAAACAGTTAAGAATGTGACCTTTTGCCTACTCCTGGGGTCAGTGGAGAGTTAGGCTAAATTTTTACATCCTTACAGAGCCTTCCCTAGAAATAACTCTGTAGACCAGGGCGGCCTCAATCTCACAGAAATGCACCTTACTCTGCCTCTCCAGTCCTGGGATTAAAGGTGTGTGTCTCCAACTGGTACAAGTCCCATCTGGGTGCAGTTTCACGTTTGTCTCTGAAGAGAAGCTGGTGCAATGTTTTGTTTCTGCTGTGCTTAAATTACTGCCACAGGGAGTTGACTGGATATATTGGAAGAGCTGCTAACCATGACATGGTGAATGAGGGGCTGCTGTTCCCAGTTGGGGAGGGGCAGGCAGATCCTGACATTCCTGAACCAATTTGAATCTGAATGGGAAACTACAGCCAGTTTCACTGTCCTGTGATGTATCACAAGGTCCTTGCAATTTGCTGTGCCCAGGTGTAGGCCTCTGAATCACATCACTGTGATGATGTGCTCAGAGCATTGGGAGCAGGGAACTGTGTGTTGAAACATGTCTCTACTCAACATCAATCTGTTTTAGTTGCATCCATGGAAAGGTTGCCAACCTTGGAGAGGCCTCATTTCTCTAGTATCTTCAAGACATTTAGCACTTTGCATTTTACATTTATTTGTTGACATGCATTACTGTGGCTGTTGTAAAAGACTTCCCTTTTGTTCAGTGTACTCTACTTACATGCCATGATGTAGATGAGTAAAATTGTTTGTATAAATAATTTACCAAATTTTGGAAATATATAGTAAGTCTCACAAGGTATATTTTTGCTTACAGACGACTGCCTCTAAGACACTCCAAAGACAATTGTATAATAACCAGTTCTGCTAGGAATCAGGATGGTAGAATACACATTCATTCAAGAGGATTGTCTAGACATTTGGGTCCAAACTGTTACAAATGAGCCACCCTTGATTTATAATCTGCTACTATGCCCATTGTTCGATGAAAAACAGGCCGCTAACAAGGTGCTCAAGGAGGCATTACACTGTCAAAAGCAACCTTAAAGCCAGTTGTGCCATGAAGTTACAGTGTTCTTCTTGAGACAAGCATTGTTATTACAGGTGGGCAATAGGACACCAGGTGAAAACTATTTGAATCAAAACATTGTCATGTTAAGGACTTGCTCTATCATGCAGTTCATCACATGGCTTTCATTTAGGCACTCAGTCAGGGAGGAGGTACATTCTTGGGAGGCTTCCCTAAGGGCCTAATATATTGACAAAAAAAAGCAGAGCTTTCTCTAAAACCAGGAGTGTGCTTGGTAGAGCTGGTAATGGTCTGCAGTCACAGCTTTCATGGAGGGTTTGCTTCAGATCCTGAGAACCTAAGCTTTCCAACCATGTAGAGCTGTCATTATTGATGGAAATGCCATCTTAGGCTTAGTTAGTAATGTTCTTTAGATAGCCTGTGTTCCTCTTGTATAGTGTTATTTGAGTAGCTGCCTCCAGAATTTGTCCCATGGTCTGATGCTTCCTGCTACTTCATAGAAGTCCCCTATTTTCTTCCATTCCTCCCATCCCCCCTTGGAGTAGTATACAAGATGCTATTCTGAAGAAGCTTGAATCCCTGCACTGTGAAGGCAGAGGTTGGCAGATCATAATGAGTTCAAGACCAGGTCAATGGTGTATTTAAGAAATTACTCTAGGATGTTTCTTTGCCATATAATCCTCCCATATATCTCAGTGCCTACCACTACAAGTTCCCTGTCTCTCTTTAATTTCTTCAAAGTGTAACTTGGACCATGGACCCAAAAGACATTTAAGGAAGATTGTGTATGTGGAATGCAAATGTATCTGATCTGGGTTTACTTTGAGCATTATCTAGAGATGTATGCATGGCATCATTAAAGATATTTTTTTTATTAATCTCCCAAGTGTGTTAAGGGATTTCTCGCTAGGAAGGGAGAACAGCTGCATTTTCATCCTGTTAGAAAATAATGTTGCTGAGGCAAACTCTCCATGTTGTATCAATTGGCTTTGACACAAGTCTGTTACTCTCCAAAGCAATGAACATCTGTTTTATATATTACATCTCCAAAATTCTTAAGTAACTATTCCACATAAGAGATTTAAAATTTTCCACTTTCCATCATGAAGTCATTCACAATGTAGTCATAGGAAAACAATTCACTTGTAGACCAATTTTTTTGTGCCTCCAGGCAAGAGTAGGAGGCATGGTTTATTGTGTACACTGTAGGAAAAATTGAGAAAAATTCAGGTGATTTAGTAAACTTTATGAGAAAGGACTAGATTGTGATAGGGGTTGTGATTCTGTAATTTCTCAGCAAGTTTTTATCCCTGTCATGTGTATGAATACAGATCAGTTTGGGTGCACAGTTTTGGAAGGTTATTTTGAGGCAATTAATATTTAATTGGCAATGAGGAAACTGTCATGTGTCCAATCCTGCTTGACACAGTTATGTCAGGTCAGAGGTTTGAGAAACAGATCATTGACTGTAAATGTATGTGTCAGGTTACAGTTCTCAGACAACATCTACATATGGGCAGCATCAATCTATCTATTTGTTTCTTTGAGACAGGGTCTCTGTAGTTTTGGAGCTGGTCCTGGAACTCTGTAGACCAGGCTGGCCTTGAACTCATAGAGATCTGGCTTGGCACGGTGCTAACTGCACCTTGCCCAAACCACATTTTATGACACCTCAAGGAACAGGATGGCAGCTAAGAAAAGTTCTTCACCCACACCTCCTGAGTGTGAGCCCATGGAGTCCTTTCTCGTCCCACCCCACATCAATCCTAGCCAACAAAATTAGCGAGAATCAAAACAACACCCATATACCCAGGGAGTCTGGGTTGTTTAGGTAGAAGCTCTATAGGCTTTTATATATATGCTAACAATTTGAAATATTTGGTAACCTTCCCAATGCCGCCCCTCAATGGATTGTGTCTATTGTGCACAACTGATCCTGCCACTCAGGTTTTACTAACCAATCAGAGCCTCTAGCACACCCACCAGTCAGAGGGAAATTTTCTTCTGAATCCTGGCTTTATTCTCAGATCATCTCCTGAGGAAGTCAGAATCTGTCTCATATAATGATTCTTTGTTTCTGAATACATGATCAGAAAGTGGAGAAGTATATGTTGTGCTCTCCCTCTCTTCCTCCCTCTTTCTCTCCCCCTCACCTCTTCTTATGTTGCAGAACTTGTCAGATAAGAAAGTGTATTTTCTTGAGTAGGACACTTTCCACTTTTCTTTATTTTCTTCTGTGTAAGTTGTCTCCCAAGAAAACACACATTTATCATTTCTCTTGTTTCTAGTGAACTTATTAATACCCCATCTTCAAATGAAACAATGTAGTTCATTGAAATTAAGACAAGTGTGATATCTAAATTATTCACCAAATTGTTTATATGAGATGTGTTTTCTTTACTGTAAGTTGTTCCCTATTACTTGTTATCAAGATAATATGGAAGGATGTGAAATATGTACAGCATTGAATATGGAAAAGAAAAATTATGACAGGCTCATTGCCAGGACGTATGTCTGATGTTTGAGAATGTTCTGGAGTTCGTGATCAAGGAATACTCAAGGGTCTGACCATCTTGGGAATAAGCATTCACAGTCACAAACCAACACATTGACATCACATGATTAAAATTAAATCAAATCTGTAATCACAGTTTTCCACACATGACTATTTTCTCTTGTGAGCACTCATACTTGACCCACATGCCAAGGCACTTATACAAACAACAATATTCCTTCATCAAGAACTGGTACATGTAAAAGAATGCAATCATGTAGGATTTGATTTAGAATAATGAATTCATCTGAAAAAGGTTTTCTACCTTGTGGGAGTTAATCGTCTCCTGTGATGTCATTATTTATTTATTTATTTATTTAAATCAATGGTGATATCATTTTGTTATCTCTCTAGGGTTGAATTATGAGAAATTATCTCATTATTTATTTTTTTTTTGTTCAAATCTATGATTAAAAACTCAATGATCTCTTCAGTTTTGAGCAATCTCATAGGAGTCATGTATAAATACCATCCACTTATTCATTTATTTATGAAAATCTGTCATTATTTATTCAGTGATCACTGGAGCTTTGAGCCTCTTTATGGGAGTCAGTCATGCCAGACCATCACA